CCTGATGGCACCAGCTCTCAGCAAGTCCAGCAGGAGCTACAGAGGAAATATCACAGTGAGTTATGAGTGCAGGTTCTTCACATTGTTCTGAACATTTTCATGAGCGGTTATACCGCAAATATCAATGGTATTATTAATCAAGCAAATAAGAGGCTCTGATGTAGAAAAGGTCACTTCACTGACATCATACCCCTTGTACATTTTGTCTCTGTGTGAATAGCCAAGGCTCAGGTCTATGAGAAAGTGTCCCTGCAGGGCATCCAGCAGCTGGTGCATCGCTCTTATCAGACTCTGTCCCTCCTGAAGCTTCTCTGTGATCATCAGTTCAGCCTCATTATGTCTGAGCTGCCAAAGGTACACATGTGCACCAACTCCTCTGCCGCAGTAGGGCATGTCCATTGTTGCTGCTGTACTCCTCCACAGGCCTTCGTCTATGTCATACCTTTTTTGTTTTCAGCCGTAAAGCCGGTGGACCGTGTGAGCAATCCCATTATTTCTCCCATTGCTCACTTTGATTTTCTTTCCTGTCTGTTTTCTGTAGGAATTTCAAGAGCAGATGAAGGGAGCGAGTTTTAAGGATGTAGTAATCAGGGGCAAGGAGCTGTCTGGCTCGCTCATCACGGCCCTCATTAATGTCTACATCAAAGATAATGCCTCCGTGGAAGCCATCAGCAATCACCTGCGCGACATCTGCCCCCTGCTGTACAGCAGCGACGACAGCGTTTGCTCCAAGGTACAAACGTTCCTTTTTTTTTAAGCTTACTTTTCTTAATCTCTTTAAAAAGGTACTACATATAAATAAATATGCCACACTTTTATACAGCTACAGGGTTCTGCAATTAAAGTTTTATTGCCGTCTTGGTGCTTAAATTTTCTCGCTATCTTCAAGATAACTCAAGGGGCATCGCAGCCATTAAAAGGTATTGATTTTCCCACATTGATCCGCGTGTCTTGATCCGGAATTTGTTGCTTTTGTCTCCCACTCAGGCTAATGAGCTGCTGCAGAGCTCCAAGCAGATTCAGAGTAAAGCAGACAAAGAGCGCACGCTGAGGGAGTCTCTACGTCTCTATCAGCAGATCAGCCAACACACCGACCTGCCGCTGGTCTGCTCTCAGTACCGGCAAGGTGGGCACACACGAGACGTACTTTAGTCAAACGAGGCTGTTGTTTATTATTGCGACACTAATGCCGTCGCATCGCCCGCAGTGCGTTTCTACGAGGGCGTCCTCGAGCTGTGCCTTACAGCCGCAGACAAGAAGGACCCCCAGAGACTGGGGCCGCACTTCTACAAGAACGGCGAGCCTGAGGAGGACGGAGTGGGCCAGCAGGCCTTCCATGAAAGGTAACGTGTGGCAGATCAGCATCGTCGATTGCCATTTCGGACAAACATTTCACCCCGTCCCCCTTGCTCTGTCTGCTCCAGGCTTTTATGTTATAAGTGCATCACGGACACCATGCAGGAGCTGGTGAACCAGAGCAAAGCCGCCCCTCAGTCCCCCAGCGTCCCTAAGCAGCCCGGGCCTCCCGTCATGACCTCCGACCCCAACATGCTCAGCAACGAAGAAGCCACAGCTCACGTGAGAAAGAAGTTGCCGGTGGACGCGTACTTCTTGCCAGAGCCGTGCCGATGATGTGCATTATTTACGGAGATGTGTTTTCCCCTTGTAGTTTGAGCAGATTCTGGGTCTGGCTCAGCGGTCTCAGGACGAGCTGTTTCACATCGCTCTGTACAACTGGCTGATTCAGGCCGACCTGACGGACAAGTTACTCGAGGTAAGAGTCGCTGTCCATATGTGCTTTTCTTTTCTATTTCCCTGTAAAGGAGTAATGGGTTAACACTACAGGAATGAATATATAATGAAGATTCACACAACCAAAGCGAAAACTGACTTTACGAACTTACTGGCTGCAGCACGTTGTTTACGTCTAATAACAAATCTTTGTCATATTTATGATTTATTACAGTAAATAAAAGGCTTCTTTCACCCTCATTGTTTTTTAAAAATAAATAACTACATCATCCAGATCTAGTTCTTATCCCGTTGAATTGACATAATTACGTGTCCTGATAGCTTCCCTGTTGTCTGTCCTCCGTCGTCCAGGTGAATTCTCTGTACCTGGAGGAACACCTGATGCACATGATCAAGCAGGACCAGAGTAAAGTGCACAATATGGACCTGCTGTGGCGCTACTACGAGAAGAACCGGAACTTTGGAAAGGCAGCTCACGTACTGGCCCGTCTCGCTGACATGCACAGGTTTGGACTCGCTGGACAATCTGTTTCTTTCTGGTACATTTGACGTTTCCAGTCTCCACCAAAAACATTTACGAACGACTTCTGACTCTTCCTAGAGTCCGGTGGCCTTACGTACCCTCTATGCATTCATGACCTTTTTCTAATTATTATTTAAAGTGAAGACGATGGGATGTTCTCTGTTTAAGCAGCACTGAGATCTCATTAAAGCAACGTTTGGAGTACATCGCTAGAGCCATCCTGTCTGCCAAGAGTTCCTCGTGCATCTCCGCTCAGGCCTCCGATGGAGAGTTCCTCCACGAGCTGGAGGAAAAGATGGAGGTGCGTACGTGCTTGTGTTTGCGGCTAAAGTCATCCAGCAGTGATTCGGCATTGTGACCACTGTGTTTTTGGTTCCTCTCCCCAGCTGGTGCGTATCCAAGTGCAGATCCAGGACACCCTGATTAGACAGTACTCCCATCATCCCTCAGTGAAAAATGTCATCTCCCAGTTGGATTCAGAGCTCATGGACATCACCAAGGTAACGTGCAGCAGTGGAACCATTTGCGGTTGGAGATATTAACAAGGAAAGGGATAATATTCGTAAATGCGCAACGTGTGTTTTCTGGCGTAGCTCTACGGGGAGTTTGCGGACCATTTCAAATTGTCTGAGTGCAAGTTGGCCATCATCCACTGTGCGGGACACTCTGACCCAATCCTGGTGCACTCGCTGTGGCAAGAGATCATGGAGAAAGGCAAGTGAAGCCCAAACCCCCACTTTTCCCTCAGATGTGCTTCCTATGCCACGCATGAGGTCAGTGATGATGGGTATTTGTCTTGTGCAGAGCTGGGAGACTCTGTCGCGATGAGTCCAGCAGACAGGATGAGGTCGCTCAGTTTGAAACTGGTATCGCTGGGGAAGATTTACGCCGCAACACCGAGATATTTCCCCCTGGGTAAGTACTCCTGTCGTCCCGAGGCCCATGTTCGGCTCTCCTCTCGTTTCCGGCTGATCACTAATTTGTCAACAGTAATGTAATTAGACTTCCCCGTTGCCTCATTTATGTCTGGTGGTGCGGGCCTGCGGGGCCGTGCTGGTGCTCTAGGCGATTGCCTAATCATCCTCTCGTTACAACCAGCTTGTTCGAACTTGTCTTCTCTGTGGAGACGACAACCTGTTTGAAACGCATCCTTGGCGCTTGTATGCACAGAATCAATGTCAGACCCCCTTCCCGAGATGTACAAGTGCTGACTATGCAATGCTTACAAGTGCCGATGTGTCCTTTTTGATTGCAGAGTTCCTCGTAAAGTTTCTAGAGCAGGAGGTGTGTCTGCTGAACTGGGACGTGGGCTTCGTCACCTCCACCATGCAGGAGATCGGCGTGCAGTTGCCGCGTCTCCTGGAGGTTTACGACCAACTCTTTAAAACTCGGGTACGGTCGCTTCAGATCATCGTATGTCAAAGAATCTACCCTTGTCCTTGGTAGCTTGATGCACAGAAGTCTAAGCAACAGCTTTCTGTGGATTGAGGGTTAATAATCCACCAATCTCCCTCATCCCCTCTGGTCTCTAGGATCCTTGTTGGCAGCGGCTGAAGAAACCTCTCCACTTGGTGGAGTGCATCCACGTGCTTCTGTCGGGATACGTGGATGATCCCAGCAGAGTACCAACCTATGACAGGTAATCCCTGCCTGAGCTGTGCCGCTAGTGGGCGCTGTTGTCTCTGGCTTGTTTTAGGCTAATGACGCATACATCCCGCAGCACAAGTGAGACATGGACTCCCCACTGCTTTTTTTTTTTTTTTGTAAACAGTGTTTAGATACAAACCTTCTACATCGGAAGAGAAATGCTTAACAAGCGGTTTGATGAACGCAGAGCGTTTTGCTTAATGGTAACTCTGGTGTGATCAGCAAAATGATGGCCATTGGGCTCAATCACATGTGTGCCATCACCACACGGCAGATAAGAGGATATCAAAACTTCACGATACTTTAAATTTAAATCCGCATTTAACTTGTTTTCTCTCCCGTCAGACGCCGGTTCACCAACGTGTGTCTCGACGACATCTGTGGATACCTGGTGGAGCTGCAGTCTCTGAGCCCAAACGCGGCCCTCCAGCAAACCATCGGCAACTTCAAGTCACTGCAGGCGAAGCTGGAGAAGCTCCACTGACTCTTCCAGTGACGCCATTCACAGGCCGTCTGCATCTCACACGGTTGGCCTTAAACGAAACACACACACGCAGTCTCAACACCGTGTGTGTATCCCCCAGTAGTCTTTGCCTCTTTTTGCTCGTTGTTAAGGGGCAGAGGGAGCAGATGTCTGTAATGGCTTCTGATAAAGAAGAGGAAGACGGAGGAAACCAGTTTTATAACTTATTTAATACATTTTGTTAAGGATCCAAACATGCTGAAACACAACTACACAAAGAAACGCGGTTGGTTATTTGCATTGTGTGCAAATATCTTTGTCTCAAAGATGGATAGCTAAAAGAATTACACGATATTTGAGTTCCTTGTGTTGATAAAAACATGAAATCTGAATTTTAGTGCTGAGTTTTCACGTTTCAATTTTTGTTTAAATCTAATTTCAAAAGACGTCTCACTAAAGCCTTTTGATCACAGTTGAATACTTTTTTCTGCGTTTGCCTCCAAACAAACCGTTCCAGACGTTGTAATTATGTACATAACGGCCATAATGTTTTCTCTGCTGCCAAAGGTCATGCTCACACACTGAAACAGTTTCTTTTTCATGTTTATTATTTAGAGTGAGTTTTTTTCTCTTGGCAGGAAACATTTAACAGTGATTTTGTGATTGTTTCAAGTGCGCAACACATTTTTAACCAGGAGCAGTTCAGTGCTATACTGCAAAAAAATAAATAAAAACATTTTTATGAAGAAATAAAACGTGTTATTTGTGTTCGAGGAACATTTTTACAGGAAGTAGTTGTTACCTGCAACCCATCAAACCCACGTTCTTGGTTACAGATTTTACAAGTAATTGGCGAGATTGCCTTTGGTTGAAATGTTGCGCTGCAGAGGGAGTACAATAATGGACTTCACTAATTGTTTACATAATTATGTTTAATTGAAAAGCGCACATATGTTTTTCCTGCTGTCATCACAAAACAAATTGCTGCATTAATTGATTTCATTTTTTCCGCCAATTTGCTCTGCACGATTATGAGCAATTATGCTGAATTTCTAATTAGCCTTAAAAAAAAACTAGATTTCTTACTTGATACAGGATTGTTTCTCTTAACGTCAGTGAGTCAGTACATTTATATTATACATGACGTTTACCATGTGAGACTGATGTAATGTTCTTTACATGTTAATCTTTAGGAATGCAGCCACAGTCATTTCTATCTTTCCTTTAGTTATTTGAAATGTGAGAAGCAATACATTTTTACCTGCTGTGATGAGTTTCTTTACATTGTGTTTGACAAAGAAAACATTTTACATAGCTTTTCAAAATAAAGTTACAAGGTGCCCCCTCCCCCAGATAAAATAACTAAACATGAGTATAATTGGGAATTTTCCGCCAATAAATGTATCTCAGTCGACTAATTAATTCGGCCAGTTCTTAAAACAAAATATATGAGATGTTGGCTGTTAATTGGTTTTCTTGTCAACCCCGTCCTCTTTCATCCCGTCTCTTCTACAGTTCCTTGTTCAAGTAAAGGACACTTATATTTACTCTTGACTGATTTGGATCCTGCACGTAATGTGCACCTTTCTACCTTCTGCACGGGCAACCAAGCTTTTTCACTCCGTACAAGAATATGTAGGGGATGATGCAGGTGTAGGAGGCTGCAATGTAGCTGGCCACCTCCACCAGCATCGACGACGTGTGGATGTTGTTGCTGATGCGCAGCAGCAGATGAGTCAGCCAGCAGACCAGGAACACCGCGGCTACAGCCACCACGCTCTTGGCCGCTCTCACCTGAGTGCCCGAGCTCGTCTTCGCCCGCGTCTGGCTCGGCCTGCCGGGTCCTTCCGGAGCTCCGCCCCCGCTGTACGTGTCCCCGACGAGGGTCCCGGCGTGACCCGGCGACCCTCCGGTGGGACGCGCTGAAGCGGGCACGCCGGTGTAAATGTCCGTTAGGGACGAAGGATCTTTTGGATCTTCAGTGGGGCCCGGACCAGACGCGGTGCCGGCCACGCCGCCGTCCCTCCCTCCGCCGCTCTTGTTTTCCCCCTCCTCGCTAGCGCCAGAGCTGTGACCCTGTACGCGTTGCTTGTTTCGCAGCAGAGTGACGACAATCTGTGCACTGGCGAACACCAGCCCAGCGAGCGGGAGAGCGTTCGCCAGGGTTAAATAAAAGATCTCGTAGGTCTGCCTGGCCACCGCGCTGGGGAAGACGTCCACGCAGTCCACTTTGCTCCCGTTTCGCCCCTCCACCGCCACGAAGAACACGTGAGGGATGCTGAAGACCGCTGCCACCGTCCAGCTCCCGGCCAGCAGGCAGCCCACCAGGCACAGGCGGTCCAGCTGCACCGGAGCACCGCCGCGCTTCAGGGAGCCCACCAGCTTCTGGTGCCAGAACACGCTGATGAAGAAGGTCGAGTAGATGCTGCTGGTCTCTGAGAGGTCGGCGCAGAAACGAAAGGCGGCGCAGAAGGTCTCCCCCAGGAACCAGTGTCCAGCGAAGTCCGCCACGGTGTCGGGCAGGTCCACCAGGTAGTTGGTGATGAGGTTGGAGACGGCCAGGTTGATGAAAAGCACCTCGTTGGTGCGGATGCTAGATTTGTGGCCGGGCAGCGAGCGTATGGCCAGCCAGTTGTTCCCCAGGATCCCTGCCAGGAACATGAGTGCTCTGATGAGGGATTCGATCCAGCCTTCTGCGTCCATCGCTACGCCTGATCAGGGGACAACTTGGTCTCGCACGAAGCTCGTGGATGTGGGACGCTTTGGTCTTTTAGGCCTTTATAGAGGAGGGTTTGAAGGAAGACCCAATCACACAGCAGAGTTTTCTTTAGTCTCGCTTGTCACTTTTTCCCCTCAGGGAGCCTCCATCATGTAGTCACACTGAGGTGGATGTGTATCTTTCCATTGACAGGAGCTTCCCCTTAGTAATAGTCTCCAGTGTTATCTGGTGCAATATATATGAATTCAATATACATAAAAATTAAGCCTGTGAAAAGTAAACTTAAGAGAATATATATATATATGAATGCACAGGGATTGTAAGAAAAAACAATCTGCCTGGATGTAAAACAACGGTAGCCCTCGGAGACGGAGTGAAGGGAAGGATTAGTCATATTTTCTCTCACTTTCATTACTGCACTTCTCAATTCTAACTAGACTGTGACTGTAAATAATGCTGATTTTCTAAATCCTCTTTGGCACTCCAATTTAATTTATTGTCCATTTGTAATTCCAAATACTTATATGGAGCACAGCTGCTCAATTGCACTAAACATGCAAACATCCCCACCTGTGGGGCCCCATTATTGAAACAAGTGAAACCATTTGATGATAATAAAAAGGATGCTTGCGTGTCATTTAACAGATGTGTTAAAAGCTCCACATATAAACGCATGCATTGATGCTCTATGGGTCCTCTTCAGGGTGTGATGATGTGTCACACCGATCACAGCATCACCTGTAGCTTTCCCCGGCCTTTGTTCAACCTGAAGAGGTCCATGCATGAAGACATTTATTTAAGTGGTCTATTGCTTTTTGATGACATAATGAGTCATGCTGGGGTGGTTTGATTAACCTGATTGAGGTTACCCATTGACCACTAATAAAGGCAGTTGCAACTATTTTAAATGGGTTGTAACCACCATTTAAAACCAACATTGTTTTTTTAATTACCATATTTTGCGTGGTATTAATAATGTCTCGCTAATATGGACAACAATGGACATGGCTGACCGCTTTAATTCTATAGAGAGGGCAGATAAGCTGCCCCACTGTAACAGCTGGAAGGGGGGGCAGTTTTAGTGTAGTAGCGCTCCACGTGATTCAAGAGCAAAAGCTCCACCTTTTTAGGATAAACCAGAGGGAGGCATCTGTGCGCCGCCGCCTGCCGGGACAGACGCACGGGACCGGGATGCGCCAGTGAGCTGTGCCGCTGCGGGCTGTCGGCTTTAAAGGGATTTGATACATATAAATATATATTTATTTTCTATATATCCCTCCTCCCCTTTGACTATGTTTGCCACTGCCCCGCGCTCTGAGGTTGACGCGGCGCTCAGTCCGGGGAAGGAACAGGGGAGCCGAACAAGCGGGTCCTGGCGCGGTGCTGCGTTCGCGGTCGCTTCCGTCATGAGACGCCGGTGAGCGCGCGGGGAACAGGATGCCCTTCGGCGGCGCCGACTCACTGAAGCCCAGCGCCTTCATCCCGGTGTGCACGGCCGCCTGCCTCCTGGTCGGCTCCACCTCCCTGTTCTTCGTCTTCACGTAAGTGCCCCCCCTCTTCCACCCCTAAACCCCCCCCCTAAAAGTTGGTGACTGTCGGTACTGTTGGTTTCGGTCCTCCGGGCACCCATCCGTCACCCGCGCATCAGGTAGCCTATTCGTTGCGTCCATACATGCCTCCATGGCTGCGTGTGGATCGGATTTTGAAGCTATCAAATAATAATAATCTCTTCCATTTCGGCATCTGGTTAATTTTCAATTTCTACAAAGCTGCTTTAACTAATATTTGATGGACAATGCAGAAAAATGCTGGCAGAGGCACCAAGGATCTGCTCTCGGTGTGGTCTGTGGCCCGGCTGCCGGCCCGGTGCACCCTGAGGAGTAAGCACCGTTTTGGGGATGAACCAACCACCAGATCAACATACGAAAGCGCCATCATGACCGCCGTGTATCGTAATTCTATAGCTGGAGAGGAAATCAAACGCACACGCTGCAATGGTGCAGTTGGTTTAAAGATCAGACATCCTGCTCTGAAATTGGAGTTTCACATTCGGCGGAAGCCTGGAAATGGTTCAAATCGGCCTCCTTGTTTTGACCTATTTGTGAGAAACTAGTGGGAGGCTGAAGAGACTGCTCACAAGCCAACGCCGGCATCCAGGAAATAATGAAATATAATATCCCTTAATACCCTGGAATCCAATTTGAATGACGACTTTAGGTTTGTCAGATTCATCTACACATCTGTGAGGCTTTACATTAAGACGAAGAAGAGAAAAGCACTAGTGCTGTTACAGTACCCTGCTTTCAATATGATCCCCCCCCCCCTGACATCCACTGTGGACTTACAGTTTTGGAGGTCACCACCTAATCAACTCTGTGCCAGTTGGCTGACCCTTGACCTCTGCAGCCATATCTGTCCTAGTTTCGGCCGGAAATCTCCAGTAGTGCATCGTTTCACTGGAAACTGACACCAGATTGGGCATATAGGATTAGGGTCCTCTGGTGAATGCCATGTGACCCCCCCCCCACACACACACACACACATCTGGGAAAATGTAATCTTTGAATTCACAATCAGCAGACATGTATTCACCCTCATCCCCCCGTTTCATTTTCCTTATTTCATCTTTCCGACAAAATAAGCCCACAGTCAGAAATATGACCTCTTGTTTATTGGAGATTCTAAAAAGAAACCAAATCTTAAGTTGGTACAGTACGACACCATGTGAGAAGTAGAGACGTTTCTCTAATTTGAGGTTCTTTGCACAAGTGTTTTTTGGGATAATCTATCGATTTAAATAATTGTTTTGTAGTTTAGGAGTTTAGCGACAGGCTCTTGGCCGGAAACGGGAGAAAACCCCCGATGAACCCCACCTAAAAAAAAATCAATGACCTGCTGACGTGATTGATTGAGAAAAGCCTGCTTAATTGGGGCTGCACTGCTAAACCAGCAAAACCAGGACGCTGCAAATGACGGAAGGAACAACTGATGAATCTGCTGCTTCTTATGGGACGACGCTGCATTTCAGCTGAAATGATCTTATAACCTAAAACCCTTTAATTAACACGCCAGTATAGAGCTGATGGCTCCAAAAGACTCCCTTTCTCAGTGCTGGTGTGCATTGGTTTGGATATCTGGAGGGCCTACCAACCCACAAGCTGTGAGTAACACAACCCAGTTGCTTTTTGTGGGCTGCCTAGATCAGAAACATGTGATTCAACGAGACCCCTCGGATTACGCTCCCCGTCCTTTGTCACGTGCTGACACCTAAGAATAAACCGTCCCCCTGTTCGAGTGCCTCCAAACCACAGCTGGAGAACCACTTTCACAAAAATGTGCCATAATGTTTCGCGAGCTGACCAAAGCAGACCGTGCACGGCGCTAACACAGCGTTTGAGACTTCAGCATGTGAACATGTTCTAGCTGATACCTTGATAATAAGAATCCACCTGGAAGGGAGCATGATGACCTCAAACACAGTGAGTCTTTGCACAGTACAGAAAACCTCTTCCGACTGACCAGTGAATCCCTTCCAGCCTTTGTAGCTCTTATAATGTGGAAATGTGTACAGTAGACCATGAACGCCATTCATAGTCGCAGCATTCTGCTCGCTTGATGTCCTGTCAGTCTGCCAAGTCAGCAGCGGCAGCTGGACTGATTCCCTTCCTGCAAAAGCGGAGATGGACGGGTGCCACACTCTGTTCCGCCCCACCTTGGTAACACTGAGGCAAAGGGACACCGCTTGTCATCCGCCATAACATCACCTTGGCCTTCACCCTGGTTCCCGTGAATAATGGGAACACGTCCAGTCCCTTTTGTTTTGTCACTTTTTATATTGCTGCTAAGTTTTACCCCCAAATGTAATCATGAACGGTGCCATTTAAAGCCACAGTTCATCTATTAATATTCATGCAGTTATAAGTGTGTGTGTGTGTGTGTGTGCTTTAGTAATACAACGACGTATGCTTCCATCTGTGTTTCCACTGCGACCTTTAAAACAGTTCAGGCTCTTTTGTTTTCCTTCGCCTGATAAAAAGTCATCAGTTACCAGCTTCCTGCTTTTGTTCCTCCGACCATGAACTTGTTGTTTGGGTTACTGCTGAAGGTTTTGTGCATTGTTAAATCCGGGCCGGCGGCCTACGCCCCACACAGACTTCAGAAGCATCATGAAAAATGCCCCTGGATAAATAAAATATATGTTGAATATAGAAAAACCAAAAAGGTTTGAATGCCAAATGCTGCTTTATAAACACGCTGAATATTGTGGAGAAACTTTCCAGCTTAACGCACGAAGAGTCCGTTGGAATCGTTTGTTGGAAGCTAAAACCACAATCCCCAAATTCCCTTCATTTCACTAAATCCTTTATTTGCGCGGTGCACAGTGAGAACAGAGATGATGAAATGCGGATGAGACGCACGGGTCACGTGCGCGCGCTTGGACCCTGTAGTTTGCGCCGCGCTGATTTTTTATCCTGCACGCCTTTACGAATCGATTCACCCCTGAAACGCCCTGCGCACCGTCCCGTCGTGCGTCGGTGACGTCACCTACGTAACCCTGAAAGGAAAAGAAGCCTCCCCCCACCTCCCCCCGTCTCACTGCAGCAGTGCGCTCGTCACTTGACCAACTGCGCTGCGTCTGCTGTGCCACTGACCCACTCCGGGGATGAGGGGCGGCGTGCAGATTGCGGCAGCGGCTTACCGCCGTGTGTGATTGAGCACAGCTCCGCCTGGGCTGCTTTCATTAGGCGGGGGTCGAGGGGGGGGGGCTTGTCTCCGTCCTTCCCCGCGCTCCAGATGGCCGCAGGCCGACGAGGCGACGGAGGCCCCGCCGTCCGCGCGCGGTCACTCAGTCGACGCTGTAATCCGCTGCGCAAGAAAAATCAATCAAATGAATTCTTACAGGCTCACGGTTTTGCGGCATTCTGGCAGACTGCGTTTTTTTTTCTTCTTCTACATCGCTGTATTTTATTGTTAAAACTAATAGTTCAACCCCGTCTCATTCGTTTGAACAAATTGCACGTGCTCTGGCACGTTCACGCAAACGATTATGTGCAATGGTGCGCCGTTTCCTACATTATCAATTGCTCATGCGTCACGCTGATCAGAATGCATTGCACTGGTTCTCTGCTGACTGGTCCCTCCAACTCACTACTTAATTGCATAAGTCGTTTCATGCAAAACGGTTGAACCTGTTGTCAAATTCATTTTTAATTTGGAACTTTTTTCCCTTCGTGCCATGCAGACGTGTAAAGCATCATGTGTTCATATGCTTATTCTTTTCTCGATTGCAATGCCAAGGCCTGTCAACATATTAGAGTAAACTGTATGGGTGAATCCTGTACAATCGCTTGCAATCAACGTCCCACGTAAAGTAAAGTTTGTATTATTTTGATTCATTTAAGCAACAGAAAAGGGGCAGCCATTTGTATTTTCAGTCATTTTGTCATTAAAACCGTAGTTTGAATCAGTAAGTGCTGAGACACTCTGATGTTGACAACACGGCGCTGTCGTGTTGATTGACACACGTCTTTACTTTTGAGAGACTGATTCCAGAAATGTACCAAAGCTGTACACTGATTTGGTGAACGCATCGCTATTTGCAATCAGTCTATCAGGAGAGGAAAAAGAGAAATAACGACCTTGTTTCATAGACTCAGGGTAACGACTTGAGATCATTCGGTCTTCTGATCTTTATGGCAATGATGAGAGGAGTGTTTTAACTGACCACAGAATGAATGATGCAGCTATCACATGTCACACATGACCATGATAAGTGAGAGCGACTTTGACACACATCCCCAGCAGAGGAGGGGGAGCGGCACCGTAATCTTTTGGTCATATGTTCACTGCCTCCTCATCATTTCCTCATGCTAAGTCTACAAAGGAATTCTTGTCCTATTTCCATTTTGTATTCTCACTATTATCTGCTGTAAGGGGGAGTCATCTGCAGTCTTGGAGTAGTGAATGATGTGGATTCACGTTATGATATCCAGTCATTTCAAGAAGGATGTACGGTTACTGAACTAAGATAATGTTTAACATCTAATGCTAGGAATCCACAATGCACTGGACTTGCAGAAATGGTCTATAATCCAGAGATCATAATCCAGGGATTACTGGGTTTGCAGCTGGCATGGCATCAGCAAGCGTTCCTCCAGAGGGGCTGGACCCCTCCCCCACAGCTTGAAACCAGCTGGGGGGGGGGATTGTGGATTGGAGCCCTCACTGGGATGAAGCGCATAATTGAGGAAGATGACTTAATTTTCTCAGTCTTTTTTCTCCTTCGACAATTTGGAATCACTCATATGTGCTCATGCATATCGGCATGGGAAATGGAACCAGTCCCTGGTTTTACTCGTTCAGTGTGGACCTGATTATTATTTTTCTTTACCTATATGCAGACCTAACTTTTTCCTCCCATGAAATAGAACATTCCCATACTGTATCTATGTAGGTGAAACATGTGATTTTCAATCAAACACGGTAAATCTCTGTAAACTGATTACACTGTCCCTTCCTCTAATCTCACACAAAAGAGATATAATCATACTCCCAGCATTCAGTTCAGCAGGACAATACACACACACACACACACACACACACACACACACACACACACACACACACACACACACACATACTGAGTCCGTGGAAAAGATAAGTGATTGTTCTGTAAGACTTTAGGCCAATTAAAAATATGTGGTAGTGTCCTCACATAAAACACTTTTGATAGAAAACAAATTCCAGAGATTTGGACTTTTTCTTGCTCATTCACATTAATGTTTGCTTTACCTCAACGTCTTTATTTATGCTTTTTTATTGTTGGCACAGTATGTACACAAATGTACACAAATGTGTAAACTTTAAATTTATTTTTGCAATTCTTGTGAAATTGTGGGATACAATTAACAATTATTTTCCCTATTTATATTTCCTATTGATTGCTGAAAATCTCTCAGTTAATAAAGTATTACAAAAACACTCAGTTCACAATGTTAATAAACATAGAACATCTGTAAACACTTCAAGCTGGTAAATGTTTGGCATTTTGGCCAAATGGACAACTTTCGCAATTTGACCTCAGATTAGGAATTGACGAGTATATGATGGTTCTCTTTTACTATTGTCTTACATTTTACAGACTAAATAATGAATTGGTATTTAGCTGCAGCCTTTAAGTGTCCAGATCTGCTTCCTTATGTAACACAGATCCGAACGTTGCGTGCCGGCAGTGTTCCCTGGGGCCAGGAGGGCCCCCATCATTTAATCCCTGCTTCTGGCCACTGGTGGACACACTAATACTTGCTTATCTTTCATTGTAAACAATTACTTTTGGGATCCAGGGCTCCCAACAGAATAAATGGGATGAAGATTATCCCTTAAAATCTTTGCTGTAGCCTTGATTTGTGTTAACTCAACACAAGGGATGGAAACTCAAGCGTGGCGAACATGAATTCTGCTTTGAATAATAACTCAACTACAAGAAACGTTTAATTTTTTCTTCTTCTTCTTCTCTTCCTTCTATTTGTAAATTCAGATGCCCGTGGCTGGCTGTAAATATCTCCCCTGCTGTGCCGCCATGCTGTGCCATCCTCTTCCTTTTTGTGCTCGCCAACTTCACCATGGCAACCTTCATGGACGCCGGCGTGCTCCCGATGGGTCAGTACTCAAAGTTACGTCACGCTAACAATAGAAGAAGACATTTTTTTTTTTTTCCGTTGTTGGTGCTGATCTTACCACCTTCACTAATTGTTTTCCAGCCAACGAGGACGAGGACAAGGACGACGAGTTCCGCGCTCCGCTGTACAAGAACGTGGACGTAAAGGGCGTCCAGGTCCGGATGAAGTGGTGCGCTTCGTGCCATTTTTACCGGCCTCCCCGCTGCTCCCACTGCAGCGTTTGTGATCACTGTGTGGAGGTTGGTGCATGGACCCATTCAGAGAGAACAGACGTTATATCTACAGTTTCTACAGAAACACTATACATACAGGGTAGAAAAGAGAACAGATCAAACGTGGGTGGTGAGTGATGAGAGCGAGGATGTACATACCGCTTGGAATGAGGGTAGCACTGTGTGTGGGGGAAAGTCAATGAAGGGGATTTCTGCAGAGTGAATGATGGACAGAGTGAATGATGGAGGGAGAGAGATCTCATTAATCAGGTTAATCCTTTTCTCAGATCCCTTGTAGACTCAGTGGAAATGCAATTTGAAAAAGGGTTCAGACAGTCTGCAAAAAATGTGTTAAGAAAGCACCGTTTTTAACAAAAGCTCCATTGTCAGTGCAGGAAATTAGTCAATGTAAACCAAGCACTTTTATTTTACGGCTTGTTTAATTTAAATGATCTTTTCTCCTCAATTCACCCTCAGGACTTTGACCATCACTGTCCCTGGGTGAACAACTGTATCGGGAGGCGAAACTACCGCTACTTCTTCCTGTTTCTGTTGTCGCTGACATTTCACATGATCGGTGTCTTCAGCTTCGGACTCATATACGTCTTGCACCACATGGACGAACTGTGGAAGCTGCACTGCACTGTCACGTATCCTTATACGCACTCGATACGCGCGTATCTATGCATTTCTTTGTGCGAACATATTCGACCTGTGTAGTTGAGACTAATAGGAAGCAGTTTTCTTTAACAGCGTGTGCAGTTTGGTAGTGATCAGCATATCAGGACTGTTTCTTCTCCCGGTCCTGGGGCTCACTGGTTTCCATTTTTACCTGGTGTCCAGAGGTCGCACCACCAATGAACAAGTAAGTAGATCTTTAAGGCTTAACAATTACGTTCCCGTATGTGATGTATTATTATCTCTATTACAGATTTTCCGTTACGTCCGAACAATAATGAAACATATCCAGCTGTACCTTTATCTGTGTTCATGGTCACACAGGTAACTGGGAAGTTCCAAGGAGGAGTAAATCCTTTCACACGAGGTTGTTGCAACAACTTGGAGTATCTGGTTTGCAGCCCAATCTCTCCAAAGTAGGAGTCATTTCCTGTACTTTATCTCCTTCATTTTTTTAGGAAGCCTTATAACACGCCGGCTGACACCCTGTTTGTCATGTGACACACAGGTACACAGCGAGGCCCCGTAACAAAGCGGTGATCCACGTTCAGCCTCCGTTCCTGAGACCGGAGATTGACCGGCAGAGGCAAATGAAAGTGAGGGACAATGGGACTCAGAGGCAGGATCTCCAAAATAAAGTACGCCAAAAACAAACGACGGGCCAAATTCAAATTCGAAGGAGGGTTACATCACTTGTCAGGGGACCAGAGCCCTCATGCTTTTTTCTGTTTTTTTTTTTTTACCCTGACAGCGCACTTCAGCCGGAGGTGTCGAGCTGTCAGACATCAAGCAAATGAACACTCCTCCACCACTGCCACCAAAGCCGGATCACAGCCCGCCCAAAAGCCAACTGGCTGTCGTGGATGGTACTGTCAGATGACACGTGTACTCTTTGATAACCGGCCACACGTTCATACAACGCAGACACATGATATTATTGTGCAGTGTCAAAGATACCACAACATCCATGTGATACATCTAATTCAATAAGACAGAAGAGTCAATTTAAGGATACGTATGGTTGGACTTTTGCGTTTTTTTTTATACAATGGTCCTAAACAAGTGGTGTGTGTGCAGCCCAATCAGGTCCTGGGGCTGTGATTACATACTGACAAGTGCACCGGATTAGTGTTAATCTGCAGCTGAAGGTAGTCACCAACAAATGCGCTATTTCCTCCATTTCAGTTTAATTGTAAAGGTTTACATTTTCAGTAGGGACCAAGAGAACCAACTAAATCCACATTGTTTTCTAACTCATCATGAAATTGGCTTACAATAGGAAAAATATAAAAATATCCTCTTTTCCAGATGTGCGACACCATACCAAATGTATCATTCCTGTATCCATTCCCACCGTGCCACAACTCCGGCCTGTCTTGGATGCCATATCCAGAGGATCGTCACCCATTCCTCCAGAGCAGGTGCTTTTTTTCAGTCTGATATTAATTTCCTGTATTGCCTCATTATCCAAGTCCTGGGTTTTGACCCGGGCCTGATGGACACTGCTGTCTGTTTGTTGTTGTGTTCTTTAGTTGCTGAAGACATCAGAGCAGCAAGGGAGCGACAAGGGTCCCGACGTCCGCTCCGAACTCCAAAAAAGCCCTCGGAGGAGCAGCCAGCCGGCCGGCCTTCCCGTCCAGACCAACACCATCTCAACCTCGATGCAGCTCAACTCTCTGACGCTCAACAGCCGATCTCTCACCCTCAAACACGGCAATCGCCATGGCAGCAAATCCCAGCTCCCTGCAATGCGCGGTGACGGTATGGGATCCAATCCCCCGCCGGGGATCATTAGCTCGTCCAGCTTGCTGGCCAACCAGAGCAGCAGTGTCTCGTATGATAACCTCATTAACCCCTCAGATCCTCCGTTCCTGCCTCAGAGAGGTGCTCCTCCAGTTGGCTACCACCCTCACTTTTTGGCTATGGGCATGGACGGGTCCGTGTTGCAGCGCCCCCCTCCTCGCGGCTATAGTCCCGTGTTTATGGGCGTCACCAGACAGTCTCCGCAGCATCGGGACATCTCGCCTTCTCTGCAGGGCCGCACCTCGAGGGAGCCCTCACCTTCCTTCCAAGGTTTCCCTCAAAGAGACCCTGGTCCGGCGTTCCAAGGGCTGATGTCCAGAGACCTCGCATCCCAAAGCGTGACATCACGAGACCTCAGCCCCACAGGTCCGACGATGCGAGATAAGACCTCTCAAGGTCTACGAGACGGCCTTTGCGATCTCGCCTCGCAGGGTTTGACGCCTCAGAAGACCGCACCCGTGCGCTACGACAACTTTTCCAAAACCATCATGGCATCGATCCACGAGCGACGAGAGGTTGAGGAGAGGGACAGGATGCTGCGTCTCCAAGCCAGGTCCCAGGCCCTCTATGGCCCAGATGTGGGGATCTATGACATCCCCAGCAGGAGGAGTCTACCACCAGACAACACCAGACCTCCGGGCTCCCGTGGACCGACTCCTCCGGCCTACGGCTCCAGGGAGTTCCTGATGAGTACGGGCATCCTCGGTTACGGCATGAGGACCTCGCCTCTGTCCAGCTCCTCCACGTCGTCTCTGACTCGAGGCCCGAAAACGTCCAGCTCTCCGCTGCAGAGCAGCAGCAGCAGCAGCTTGCAAAGCAAGGGCAGGTCTTCCTCTCCGGCTTACTGCCCTCCTGACAGACAGACTCAACCCCTCCCTTCCTCCACGTCCACTCTGCCCCGCTTGGCCTCCTCCTCCACCCCCGCATACGCCTCCTATGCCACCGCAAAACGATCCTCGCTCCCATACTCCTCAGAGGGGAAGGATGCCGTCGCCCTGGGAGCGCTGAAATAATGTGAAAATAGTCAATGTCTGATGGTGTGAATTGATCATCTATGCAGTGTTAGTCTCAGTCTTCGCAGCTCCAAAATACTTTGTAAATACGAGGCCATATGGGACTTTACTGTGTGGGAGGGAGAATACACAGTGAAGGATAAACTTAGAAATACTCTTGAAACATCATGCAAGTTTAACAAATCCGAAAAACGGTGAATCTCAGGATAGTCGTGCCTCCTCTTTACAAAACAGAGCGAGCTCTATAAACTCAGTCACAGCAGAACAGCTATGTAAAGAATACATATTAACTTATTATCTGTTTGTATGTGTTTTGATATTGCTTTTGTGAAACAATGTAACACCATATCACTTCATATGTCTCCCGCTGCAAAATACCCATTTTAATAGAATTTTGTAGTTGTTTATATGAATAAACTTATTTTGTAATTTTCATTTCTCTTTTTAAATCATTTTTAAATCATTGAGTGGTTACCAATAACGACGCCTCTGCAGGGCTGCATTGGACTATGATGAAATTGTGACTGAGGCTTTACATATTTAAAACACCTGCTGTTTTAAGCAGCCCAAAAATATATATTTTATGGTTGGTTATCTTGCTGCAAAGATATTATCTTTATGTGACATTTTCCCCCCAAATCACAAGTTAATTTGAGCTCATAACTCAAAAGATGACACGATTTATGGAGATCGAGTCAAGCTGCACTCTCAGTCATTTCTAGTTCAATCTGCTCAAGTGTGTGCATTTGCCTCGCAGTGATGATGGTACTGCCGGAAAAAAAACTAAATTATGACGTGTAATGGGGATTTTAATGAAATATAAAAGATGGTGCAATGATTCACTATTTCTGCAGCCAGTTGAGTTTGTGTACGGCGCCCTCTACTGAACTGTTTGAAAAGGTGTTTTTTCTGTGTAAAATGTCAGAAAACATTAGTTAGATCAGTATTCCAGGTAATGGAAAAGACCTGGGGGATGTTCTCTAGTGAGCCCTATATTCCAAAAGGTCTATTTAAAAAAAGAAGTTTATTACCACTGCAGGCAGTTCACAATAAAATCAAGAGAAGAAAAATACAAAAATCTGACAACCTCTTCCACCTTTATTCATTTCATCTGGTGAAGAAAAAGCTGTTCAGTAAATTCAGTAAGATTTAAAAAGAAACAAATCATTTCCAACTGCTTCAAACATCTGCTCTTGCGTCTGGCCTTCAGTCGTATTCGCGAGTCATTCAAGGGCTTTGTGACAAATATTTCTAATTACCTTGAGCCGTGATCCACAATCACACATTTTTATTTGGCCGATAAATGACAAGGCCGGAAGCTTTCAGGTTAGATCTTTTAATGGGAGTTATTGTTCTACGTAACCTTGTAGTACTGTGGAAAGGGAAGACAGCTTGAAAGGATTGAGTCATTTAAAGTATGCAGCTGATTAACTGACAGATCTCACACCAGAATGGTTAATTCATTGGGATGTAAAGACAAAGACCTGACAACAAAAGAAGAGGAGAATGAAGACAAAAAAAAGCTTCTTCGTCAGAGTGCCAGAAAGCAACAAGTGTAAAGAACATTGTTCAGGACTCATTGCAGCTGTTGTTCTTGCCAAAAATGTTCAACAAGATTGCAGATTACATTACACAGTCTTTTAACTCAAACGAGTGAGGAATCCATGAGGAGAGAGATGAGGATCATTTCTGGGCTTTTAAAGCACGATAAGATACCAGGATGGAGGGAACGAGCTGCAGATCAGACGAGTCATCGATGTCCTATCTTATGTACAGTAAGTTTGGGCAAACTATCATTGAATTGAATGAGAATATGTGTCCAACCTTTTGATTGGCACGTACAGTCAACGGCACGTTTATATCAGCAGAACACTTTTCACCCTCATCGATTCCTCTGATGTCACTACGACGTGTCTTCACTCCAGAAATGATAATGATAATAACACATTTCATTTATGTAGCGCTTTTCCTAATGCTCAAAGACACTTTGCAGAACATTTAAATTTTTTTCCTAAAAACAAAGCAATAAATAAATAAAACCAAGCAAGTATAGAACACACACAGGACCCACATTACATTAGAAGCAGTTCTGAAGAGGTGGGTTGTGATTTGGGGTTTGATACAATCTGTATTTTATACGGTTATTTTTCTTCCCGTAACTTCTTGTGGTTTTCTAGCCGCCCCCCTCCCACCCTCCCCCACCCCACCTCACCCGCCCCACCTCACCCGCCCCGGCTTCTGAGGGGTAACGACGGTAATGATTAGGCAGCTGTGCAATAAAGGGATCGCAAGTCATTTGATCAAACTATTCTGTGAAGAAATTGGTTTTGTGAGAAGCCCTCCGTCTCACACTGTGCTATTCTTTCTAAACTATTTGTCACCATAAGAAAATTCGTTTTCAAAGACATTGTTGCCATAAAATCTACATTTTTATCAAATATATCTAAAGCTGGAAGTGTGATACTTATGCGTTGCTGGTAGAAAAGTCAGAATATCTGGTAGTTTTGCATCGTAAACATCAGACATTCCTTAAGGAATAATGCCACTTATGTGTTTAGGTCAAAACGGTTGGAAAAATATTTTCAATAAATAAATAAAATAATAATGCCTTATTTTTTGTGCTGTCAAATTGAAGAAAGAATAGCTCTTTGGGTAATTGGGGTTGTGGTTGGTTGGAGACAACAGGCTGAACTGGACCAGTGTTCTGGGTACAGCTCATAGTCTCGAACTGAAGGTGTTTTGTACCTAGTAGAATTAAAGACGTCCACACCATGTTGTCAATCAAAAACAGTACGTAACAAACAAACAAAAGGTTATTTCAGGTGTTTAACTGGTTACAGCTGAGCAGCCAACTAGCTAACCGGTGTGTTTGGTATTCAAGTCTATAAGTTAGAAGAGAATTAAACTTCAGCGGGAAAGCTCATTTGTGTTGTTATTTCAATTTTACGGCCTTCTGTTACCAACTGCTACTGATTCAAAGCCTGATTGCATGGAAGCCTGTGAGAAAATGACCCTTCTCACTTCTCACTACCTCAGTAAACATTGTAAACATTTTATGGTTTCAATTGCTGATTCGATTCTTCATCAATACACTATGAAGTTCACATAATAAATTGTAATACATTCTTCTACCAGCTGTCTGCCAAAGCGGTTTTATCGGTCGCAAAAAAAGGCTAATATGAGGTTTTGTTATTCTGAGTTGGACAAACCGACGGCGTATAACAGTATATCCTGTGTTGAGATGGATCATCTTGCATCTAGATGCATGATATGATAACAAAAAAAGAGCAAATGATGATAACACGAAGAACCGCCTGAGGAATAACCTCTTGACTGGAGCCGATCTAATTCTGATCAATCCCCAAGTCATCTAAATCTTTTATGCTTCTCCTAAAGATGCAAGAGATTGACCTACATTTGCGCCACCGACTCTCTGCAGCGGCGTGTGTGTCCCTCTTTCTCTGGGCTCATTGATATGCCTGATCATCAGAGGCATTGCTGAACCAGCTGATTGTCATTTCAGCTGCAGTGCCGCTGATGCATTTCCTTCCCTCCCGCGGCTCTCTGTTGGTGTGATTAAGCACTCGCTGCAGTCGCACTTGACAAAAAGGAGTTGGATTAATGGCACCCTGGTTTTCTCCCTCAGACGCTGCTCATTTCGTACTATTTACCATATTTATGAAATGATGGAGAGGGGATGTGTTGTAGTGCTGCTTCATTAGAAGTGTTTCTCTCCCGTACGGACAACCCTGACTTGTAGCTATTGCTGTGACTTCAGCTCACCGAGGGAGCGCAGCAGCGAGTAGACGGAGGAGTCAGGGAGGTCAGGCGTCGCTTTGTCATTCACAGTCTGAGGGCGAAGTCTCAGTCTGCCTGGATCCCCTCATGCGGCGCAGAACTCAGGTTAACATTCTGCAAATCGGTATTTCCTAAAGACCCTCTTTGTCTATTTGAATATGGAAATCAAACTCGACCTTTCTCCCCTGAAGTTGAATGTGGTGACCTTCTCTGGTATTTTCAGTGTTATTTTGCACTCTGTGTGACGGCGCCATCTGGAACACACGCAGCATTCCACGAACCGTCGCCACCGATTTTTTTTTCCTATTTTGTCTTTAAACTCATGATGGACGTTTTGCGTTAAGTGGAATCAGACTTGGCCCTGCATGCCAGAATACACAGAGCCAAGCTCAGTGTTTAATTCCTACAGAACTCAAGAGTCCACCGAAAAAAACATCAGAAACATCAGAACATCTGCAACTGTGGGTGTTTCATTGAAATGAATACAGCAACGTACACAATGATGTAATATGTCCTTTTCTACGTGGGTGTTTGTTCGACAGATCTTCTGTATTGCCCTTTACTGTGCCCCCTCTGTATTTTTTCAGTATTTTTTGCTAATGGGCAGCAGTAATTACATTCATCTCTGTCACATGGTCGTGCCAAGTTTCAATCAGTTATTGTGGCGTTAACGGCTGCAGCAAAACTGCATTTACACATAAAGCGGAGGTGTGCGCTCGTGGATGTACGCGCCTGTTTTACGCTCTCAAATGTGTCAATACACTTAGTAGAACAGGATTTATTCATGCTTGCTGCTACTGAGAACTATGTGTGTGTGTGTGTGTGTGTGAAGGGTATCGGGTCAGGCAAAAGCCGCAGACAATGAATCACAGACTGTAGAAAAGCAAAAAAAAATGAAAGTATTTTCGGGTCTAATAGATGTCCAGGTAGACTGTAAGCGAACATGTCCTTCAATAAAAAGCAGCAACCCATAGATGAAGTCTGAGTTGCAGCATTTTAATCCCAACACAGTGCTTCCATGGTGGCAGTGTAGTCATGCAGCGGAGGCCTTTTAAGGATTTTTTGCTCTATTCTACATTTTTATTGGACGGTAAACACTTTAGAGTGCTATGAAATAAAGTGGAGAGAGAGAGAGAGAGAGAGAGAGAGAGAGAGAGAGGGTGATAACTTTCAAAAATGGCTTCTGCAGCCAAAGATGTTGAACGCACATGAATACACAATATGCAGCTGTCTTGTCTCAGACTGTGCAGCTTCCTCGGTGGAGAATCTTTTCTTTTTTTTTCAATTTATCTGTTTATGCAGAATTAGATTTTGTTCATGACGACACTGCACTGATCAGCCCTTTTGTACCTCGTGTAACTCCTTTTCCCTCCTCCTGCAACGCTACCTTGCTGGTTGTTTAGATTCAAGCCTGTAGAGGCACAGAGTATCTACAATGTGCAGAATATGACTGATGGCCATGAAAGAGACACTGTTTATCCAACCTGAATACACATAAGAGCCAGCTGCCTCCTCTTCAGTGCTGATCTTCACAATTATGACCGGTTTTATAACACATTTCAAAAGGCCTCTTAACCTGAGTCGAGTGTCTGAGTTTGGACACAAACAAGGCAACAGCCTATACAATTTTTTAAAGA